AGGGTCAAGGCAAAGCAATAAGCCAGAGAGCAAGAATCACACAGATGCCAGAGTTTTAGCTGAAGTACGTTAGCTTTTTGAGTCACCTGTCATTCTTTTATCTTCTTCCTTTTTTATTTTTCCTCCTCCTTGTCACCTTGACTAGCCTGAATGAGTACCGGTACACCCTCATGTGTTCTTTTTTTCTAAAGAACTCTTTTTTTTTTTTTTGCCCCAGATTTAAAAAAAAAAAAATTAACTTTTTACTTTGTATTGGAGTATAGCCGATAAGCAATGTTCTGATAGTTTCAGGCGCACAGCCAAGCTACTCAGCCATATATATACATGTATCCATTCTCCCCCAGACTCCCCTCCCATCCAGGCTGCCACATAACATTCAGCAGAGGTCCCTGTGCTATACAGTAGGTTCTTTTGGTTATCCTTTTTAAATATAGTAGTGTGTACATATCCATCCCAGACTCCCTAACTATCCCTTCCACCCTTCACCCCCCCACCCCCGGCAACCATAAGTTCGGTCTCTAAATCTGTGAGTCCATTTCTGTTTTGTAAATACATTCATTTGTATCGTTTCTTTTTAGAGTCCTCATGTAAGCGATATCATACGATATTTCTCTTTCTCTGTCTGACTAACTTCACTCAGTATGACAATCTCTAGGTCCATCCATGTTGCTGCAAATGGCATTATTTCATTCTTCTTTTATGGCTGAGTAGTATCAGATGTGAACTTGTTAATGGTTGATCCCCAAATTCCACCCCACCTCCATGGGTTGCATGTGTCTTTTTTTAAATAAACACACCCCAAATCTCTGTAACATATGGACCTCCAGGATCAGGAGAGGTGACTGGGAAGTACCTGGCTCGGGTTGGCCAGAAGGGCACATTTCCACCTCCCAAATAAGTGCAAATACACTTTTAGTTGCAAATGACAGAAAACGAATCCAAACACGATTGAGCACAGAGGGGAAATTTTGGGCTTATTTTACTGAAATGCCAGGGATAGAGTTGATTTATGGCTAAAATCAGCAGCAGAAGTAATTCATCAGGGCTCCAGCTTTTCTACCTGCTTCTCTATGAGGAGGAACTGATGGCAAACAGAACTCTGATCATATCCCACCAGCTTACGTTCCATAGTAGAAAGGAGACTCTTCCCCCATATCTCTGCCAGAAATTTCTCTCAAGGAATGTTCTAACTGCCCTGGCTTAGATCATGTGCCCACCCATTGGCCATGAGTCTGGCCCCCTGATTGACAGTCTCTCTGAGGTTAGAGTGGGGAAGGAAAATTCCCCAGTGAAAATGTAATGTCACCAAAAGGAATATGAATGGATTCTGGGCATTTTAAAACAAATGTCAACAAACACTTGACAGATCATGGTTGATCAGTTAAAATGACTGTAGAAAGTTTCTCTTGACCAGTGTTCCATGGGCCTCAGTGGATTGGTATGTGTGGAAATGCATGCAAAATTCTGCCTATATGTGAATCTGTCCAGGGAGGGGTCCATACTTCAATGAAGTACAAAGGATTCCAAGGTGGGAGGGTAGCAGTGCTTGGAAAGGAAATGCTTCCTTCCCATCCTCACCCACCATTAACTTCCCCTGACTTAATAGAGCCCAAATGCAAAGCCATGTGAGACAATGTGACATAGTACAAAGTATAAAGATAAGGACTATTGTTTGATTCCTTAGTTCTCATTAAATTCTCTTTATCTCAGTTTAATCACTTGTCAAATGTGGATCATAAGACCTAATTTGCAGATTAAAATAGTTCAACACAGTTCTTGGCACATAGTGGGTTTCCAGTGCATTGTTGCATTTATGCCACAACTGAGTAAGCAACAGAGACTCCCCAGAAGTGATTTGTCCTAACCACCACGCCATCCTATTTGTAACAGGTCATGCTGTTTAACAGTGAGGGATCCAGTCCTACTTAACTATTCTAGACAAGTCACTTAAGCCCTCCCTTTAACAGCGTTTTCTGTCAGTAGAGCCCAGAGAATGTTTTAAGGCTATCAGCCACTTTCATTCTGCTTGCTATATTTGTAAACCACTTCTGAAGCCACCTACTGCATTCCTTTGTCAGGCCAGCTGGGAGAATTTCCTAAAGAGGCCTGTGCTACCTTCAGCTACAGATTTCTAGGTGACCTTCTCTGCACTTTTGAACACACAGAAGAGCAGACCCAACCCCCAAAGTTGTATTCGCAGGAGAGAACCTCTCACTTTCCCCAGTGTGAAAGGAAGAAGAATCAAGCTTATTAACACCTACAATAAAATCAGATGCTGAAGCTTTGCTTTCATAACTACCCAGGATAATTTGTTATTGAGCAAAAATAGAGCAGAATATAATCATATTAGAATGATAGAGAATGTAGAGGATCCTGCATCAATTCTCCAGTTTCAAAAATCTAATTTGCAGGATTGACTTTTTAGAAAAAGTAGAGTTTGCATGTTAGTGGTTGAAAAGTTTGTCTTGGAATTAATTGTCATGTATATATTTTATGAAAAACTGGAAGTTTGTAATTTTTTAATATAGTGGCACAACCATATTTGCACAAGGTTTTCCATGTGAATTTGGTGTTTTGACTTTTCTAATTAAGGTCATTAATTTATCATTTCACTGAGTCATTCAGTAAATCTTTATAGATGGCCTGCTTTATTTTAGGCACCATGGCGTATTTGATATTTATCTGAACTACTAAACAAATTGAAGTTATTCTGTAAACTGAGAGTTAAGTTTGATGTTTAAATATTTTTTAAAAAGGTCTCTCTTCACTTCTAATTCAATAATGAAAGAAAAAGCATAGAATTTTAAAATTTATTGTTACTGTTGTCTTAACATATTTAAGTCATGGATGTTATCTTAGTGAAATGTTAGCATACAATACTTTAATTTAAAAATTCATAATAAAGTTTTATTATGTATTGATTATAATATTATTGCTTTATGCAAGAGAAAGATGTTAAGAATGTAATATGAAAATGATATATCCAGGGACTATTTCACTCTTGTTTTTCCTTTGATGTAATTCATTTCTACACTAACTAACATGAGAGGAATGTCTGATGATTCTCAAGCACAGTAAATCTTTATCTTTTGTTTTTTCGGAATGAATTAGGTTTACATTCTTTGTTTTTCTATATCCATTTATTATTTAATTTAACATTTATATTAAATCCCTGCACATACTAATGTGATGTGCTGCTTCATATGAAAATGTTGTTTTCAATAATGTATTCCTTTGAAAATTATTTTCCCATGAGATATCATTAGGACTTCTGCTAGCTAAATAAACAAGCAAAGTGAGTAAATAAATAAAGGAGTAAAATATTAGTTTTTAATGAGTAAGATACACACCAAAATAAACACAGATATATTGTAAAAAGTATAATGGCTAGGTACACTTTCTCTGAGAAGTAGGTTTTTCAGCTGATTTTTGAAAGCTGAGATTGTGTCAGCTGTAGTCTGAGCTGGGGAAAAATCCTTCAGGCAGGAAGATCAGCAAGTTCCTCAGTTCTGGGTGAGAAAGTGCCAGGTTTGTTTGAGGGACAGAAAGGAGGCCATTGTGGCAGAAAGGATCATGTAGGGTGTTACAGACCTTGTTAAGAAGTTTAAAATTATGCTAAACAAGTTGGGAAAACAGAGAGGTTCTTCGGAAAGCTGAAGAGTGACACAATATAACTTAAGTTTAAAAGATGAATCTGGCTGCTTTGTGGATGATAGATTGTAGATGGGCAAGAATGGGAGTAAGGGAACCAATTATTTGGTGATTGCAGTACTACAGGAGAGAAGAGCTTTTACAGAGTTGTTCTTCATTATGTGGTGATATGCCCTTAAGAAATGATAAGTTATGTGTTGAATTGCTGGAGGTCATATGCAAAATCACTTTTTCTCATGAATATATCATTGGCATGTGGGCAGCAATGGCAGGCAGCAGGACACATACCCAATCTCTCGATGTCTTTTGTTTACTTGATAATTCTTTGTCTGTGTGACACGTTGGTCTCATAATTTCAACATATAATTTTAATATGATTCAATATTTATTTAATATAAATATTAAATATAAAATTCAATAAATATTGAATCATATTAAACTTATATGCTTAATATGTGCTAAATACTATGGACATTGATTTCCCCTAGAACCAATACTGACTCAATATCTGAGTTGATACTATAATAAAACTTGCCAAGAAACAAATAATTTATGGTATTAATATAATGTAAAATATTTTCGAAATAATATGTATAAATAGCAAATATATTTTAAAAATGCTAGGATGTGATTTTCCACTCTGTATATTATTAAGATCACTTAAACTACAACTATCTGAGAATCTGTTTCTAAGTTCAAAGTATCATGGGTATAAATTGAGCTAAAATTTTGCAAGAATTAATTGCCTTCTGAGAATTTTTTTTCTGTAAATTAACTATATTTGGACTAGAATTACTAAAATAATGGCCGTTAAAATAATGACAATGAGACCAATTTAATTTTAAATGCTCATGATAGTAGCACAAATTGTTTAAGTCTAGCTTCTTTATTTGCTTGTTTTAAAATTGCAGATGTGCTGTCTCTTAGGGAAGATGAATGTGCTCATAATAAGTTTTTAGTTGTCAATTTTCTGATTTATCTTTCTTTCATACTTTAAAAATTAAGACTAATACAAATTTTATTACATTTCATAAGTTAAATTAAAAAGTAATTTCTGAATTAATAACACATGTATCATGCCACTGATTTAAAAACATCTCAAGCTAGATAGATACATTTTCCAACTAGAAAATATTTTCTTAATTTCACATTCCTATAAATATTATAAATATTATTTGAAATGCTAGCTTAAATTTTAGAAATATTCTTGAACTTATAATATGAGTAAAATTTAATGTTTATTTTCTATATGTTTGTATTCATTACTTAGCCACATTCAAATAAACTCAGTTTTCTTATACTTCATGCTCTATTTTAGATTTTAAAGGCATAGTGCTTTTATTTTGCAGATTGTTGCCTTGCGTGAACAAAATGTTCATATACAAAGAAAAATGGCATCAAGTGAGGGATCCACAGAGTCAGAACATCTTGAAGGGATGGAACCTGGCCAGAAAGTCCATGAAAAGGTATGACACATATGACATGCTCTTATGTGGAAGTGTTTATTTGCTGTATCGTTTGACAGGAGTATGAAGTATTTGTGTAATTCATGTAATAAACATTACTGTGTTTTGACTTGTTGATCAAAAGTGCATTATTATTTCCTTTATCATTAATTGCTCCTAATTTGATTCTCTCAAAAATAATATATGTGTGGATTTATGCACATATATATATTTGAATTTCTCATTACTTGCTATTAACTTGATTCTCTTAAAAAGAATTTAATTACGTATCTGTTTGAACATATCTATAATTGAATAAATTATAAATTGAATAAATATCTAAATATATCTATATATCTCTATAGATATATTAATAATCTATATCCAGGACTGTTTAAAATACAGTAAAAATAATTTTGATTTATAAGCGATATTATGTAAAATTCGTGACTAATCTGTGGCTTATCGCTGCAAAAACTTTTTTATAATATCTTATTTGACTTATTTTCCATGTGTTTGATAAGACTACAGCAGTACTCCAGTTGATGAAAATTTACATTGAAAGATATCTGAAGTCATTAGACTTTTACTGTTTTTTAGAAGAAATTGATTTTCCTTTCGGGTGGGGCATAGACCCAGGCCAAGGAAACCAACAGTTTGTTTGGCGCTTTTCTGTGCGGAACCACTTGTTCCCAGCACAAGAGAAAGGTCAGTTGCTGGTAGGTCTGGAATCAGATTAAGATTACACAGGCATTTGCACATCCTGTGCATGAGAGTTAGACCATCTCCTGGATATTTGCAAGTTATAGCCCTGGATGCTTGAGCTCCTTAATCATCAAGACCTCATAAATCAGGTAGCTAAATTGGTGTCATTGTGAATATCAGGAGGTTTTAAAACATAGCGATTAAGAAGCAAGTGACTGTACCACAAAACAAATAGCACTAGACTTCTTATCACAATAAATTGAGCACTTCCTCATTTATCCAGTTGAAACAAATGGAGGGGCTTCTTATGTTTCCTCCTTCAACTGTAAAAGCAAAAGAAGCCAAGTAAACCAGACATTTCCTGAGACCGCCGTCAATTCTAGTGGCTGAGAAGCAAACAACTCTTCATTAAAGGCTTTACTATTTTAGCCTTTATCAATGTATTTTATAGAAATCTTAAGGTAGGTATTAACAATAAGCTACAATCTGACAGCTAGATTTCATGAGCTATATTTCAAATTTGAATAAAACTTATTTCTCTTTTCTGCAGATAAGTAAACTGACATTAATTCAGTAAATAAACCACCAAGCTCTTTAGAATAGGGCATTTGCACACAATCCTCAGTTTAGGAAACTAACATGTCATTTTACTATTACTGTTTCATTTTAATTATGTCATCAGTAATACAGTGCTATACCTTTCCTCAGAGAATTACAGAATGACATTGGTTTGAGTATGAAAATGGACTTTATGGTCATCTAGTCTTTTTCTTAGAAGTCTTCAAAATATAGTGATGCCATATTATGCTTATCTGGACGAAAATTAAAGAAATATGCTTTCAGAGGCATAAAGAACTTAAGATCTTGTCTCTTCGATAACAAACCATTTGGTGCTTAAAGCATTCCTCTAGTACTTCTGGGGAGTGGTGCACTCATACATGTAGTTTTGTTCAAATATTATTTTTTTAAGGTATAACCCCTAAATATCTAGGCATTATAGAATATAAGACACTTCATGTCAGATTAATTTTCAGAATCTGATTACAGTATTAGGATGAGGACCTGCGAATAAGTGATGTTTGTCTCTATTGGACTCAACAGATAGTGGTATATACGTGGAGGTTTCTGAGTACTTGAAGACTTAAAGTACTTGTCTTTAACTTTCTTTGCCTTCCAGTTCTCGGTGAAGGCATTTCAGCCAGCGTGGAAGAGAAATTCTGTGCCATTGCTAACTCACTCACACTTTTTTATAGATGTAACTAAAGATTTTTAAACATTGTAATTATCGGCATACTTTTTTTTAATTTCCCAGAATTGTAGGAAGAGTGATTTCCAAATGCTTTGAAATAATGATATACTAGTATTTTTAAAAATATCATGCCCCTATCCTGCAATGTAATCCTAAAGTGTATGTCATATATTTTTTTAATTTTAAAAATAAATAAACTGTGCTTTAATTCATATTACTCCTTAGATGATTCAAGAAAGCACTTTAAACGTTTTATTTATATCATATTTCTTTGCCTGATATTTCCTTTGTTTTCAACTTTATTGAGATATAACTGACATATAAGATTATATAAGTTTCAGGTGTGCAATGTGATGGTTTGCTCTACAAATTGTGTAAAGTTAAGGTATACAGTGTGATGATTTTGTATAAGTATATATTGTAAAATGATTATCATGATAAGATTAGTTCATCACCGTGTGTGTGTGTGTGTGTGTGTGTGTGTGTGTGTGGTGAGAACATTTAAGATTTACTTTCTTACCAACTTTCAAGTATACAATATTAACTATGGTCACCATGCTGTACATTAGATCCCCAGAATTTATTCATCTTCTAACTGCTGACATTTTTTGATAAAAGCTGAAATAATATCCTAATTATTATTTTTATCATCCCTTTATAAATACTGCTAAATTATGCACCTGAACATTATAAATCATCTTTTTGAAATTATCCCCTTTAACAGGATTATTTAAGGTATGTTAAGACCATTGAATAACAAGTGTTATAGGATTGTAATTTAAATCCTAACACTTAATTTTTCAGTAACAAGTGTTTAAAAGGTATATTAAAACAAAGGAAAAGAGAATATTATTTTGGGGAGTGTCTATGTAGCGAAGGTTATCAGCGTAGGATGACTGTAGTATTAGTGTATAAACTGCAAAGGGGTTGTTGGGGAGGAAACATGAAACTATTGTCAGGTGCTGTGGAGCTGTCAGAAAGTGACTTGCAAATCCTAGTCACAAGGATCGCCCTTTGTTTAGGGCAGTAAAGTTACTTAAATTACATAGTCAGGGTGGGTTATTAGCCAACAGGAGAGGTTTTATGGCAGTGGCTTGAAAACTCTGTTGACAAAATAGTTGATAAAAATAGCCTCATAAAAGCACACTCTGAAACAGGCCTACTACTCATAGAAAAGTTGTGTAATTACTACCAACATTTTGAAAACAAAAATGAAAAGAAAAAAAATAAGCTTAACTGAAACAATTTTGTTTCTGTGTGCCATGGATTTAATCAGGTGTTCTAGAAGAACATAATTATTCACGGGATAATAAAAAATTTTTCAGAATACTAAATTTTACCTCATTAAAAGTTCAGGGCTAGGATCCATAACTTTCTTCCTGCTGCTTTCCAGAGAGGAGTTAACTTGTGAAAAATAAATTTTAATAAGCATGCTTCTCTTGTAAAAGAGATAGTAATGCTCCTGGCTCATATATTCTGTACTTCCAGTTATTTTTTCCAGCTGCAAATGTTTGCTAAGTAATGTGGGTAAGTAGTATGTTAGACAGCGGTTGAGATTCAGAAGACATTCCCTGTAAAATTTGCAGGAGTGAAAATAATATGCAGTGAAAATAATCTGCCCAAATTAATATTGCAAAACATTATGAATAAAGTGGTGTCAAAAATGATACTAGAGTTTAAAGGAGAGATACATTAATTGTGACAGGAAGTGTCAGAGAGACAGTGTGGAACAGTGACTTGTTTGAAGTCAGTAGACCTGGATTCAAATCCCATCTCTGCCAATAACTACCTGGGTGTCCTTACTCTGTAACTTCCCTGAGTATCAGTTACAGGTAAATAGTCATGCCTAACTGGTAGCTTCGTTGTAAAGAATAGAAACACTGACTATGAATGACAAAATTCTTGACACATTGATTACAAGCAATAAACAGTATGGTTATAATATTTATTAATACTGTGTTCTCATGGCCATTCATTTTTCAATAAATATTTAGCGGTGACCTTACTGAAGTGCTGGGAAATTTGTCCTGTTCTGAGTGGTTGGGACGCTAATGAATAGGGCAGATGAGGGCACAGACAATAAGCACATACATGTAAAAGGGAGTGAGTGTGATCAAGGGGCAGGTGTGAGGTGGGTGGGGAGGATAGGTAGACATGGCACTGAAGAGCTTTTCAGGAGGTGGAGTTTGAACCAGAACCCAAAAGAATACAGAGAGTTAATGAAAAAGCTTAGAGTTTTTGAAACAAAGGAAACACTAAGTGCAAATGCACCGACAGTGGGAAAGAGCTTCTTGGCACATTCTTGGGAAGAAAGGATGGCAGGGTAATGTAGTCTAGTTGTCAGGAGAGGGAGAAGCAGGAGACAGGCCACACAGGGGCACTGAGCAGGGGCCAGATCATTTAAGTTCTTGTCAGCTGTATTAAGGAGTCCAATTTTATTTTCAGAGCAATGGGAAAACATAGAAGTGTTTTAAACATGGAAGCATCTTGATTAGATACTTTTAAAAAAATCATTTGCACTACAATTTTATGTCCATTTATCATTTTTTCACATATAATGCTTCAGAAGCAGTTAGAGACTTTTTTCCTTTTCTTAATTTTACAGACAATGAAATTGATGCCTACTTAGAAAAGCTAAATGACTTATTTGTCCAGAGAAGAACGAGAACCCCGGTGTTCTCACCTCCTTTGTACTGTCATGTTCCTTCATGCCAGGATGCTTTCTCTAGGTGTTATTATTGATTTTTGAAAATTCATTCTAATTCAACCTTATTTTTTTCTGATCTTTTAGTCTTTCATAATTACACATATTTATTTGTCTAGAGTTGATTATTTTATTCTACTTGAGTATGATTGTTTTTTAAGTCCTTACTTTTTTTCCCAAAAATCTCTATTATATTTTTTTACTCTGAACAGATGCTCCAAGGCAGTAGCATTTAAAAATTTTAACTACTATGAGTATGGCTTTTAAACCTGGGGAAGAGGGGTCCACAATTTAGCAGGTCTATCTCTGGCCCTCTGTGCCTCTCCCTAAGGATGAAGAGTCCATGGGACCAGGGGAAACTGC